TGAAGCTGTCCCATGCTGGACAACAGAGGGAAAAATCAAGGTTTAAAGACTGGTGAAAATGGGTCTGGACAGATTAGCAAAGGAGCAGGGCAGAGGACGTTCGGGAGATAAGGATAAAGTAAGTGGACAAAGTACCCTGTGGCCTCCCACCTTCCTCGTGGAGGTGCAGCTGAAGCGCAACACATCCACCCCACATGGAGGAAGGAGTCTGTATGGCCAGAGGAGCTGAGCCTCCAGGCTCACTGCTTTTTAGAGCAGTAGGCTGTGTGAGCATTAGGGGAACATGTCAGCATTCCAGAACCTACTTCGTGCCCTATAAGGGATTATAGCTGGACCTCAGTTGCCACAGTTTTACAACAATCAATCTTTGCTTCCATTTTTCCCTTCATTATCTGGCTGTGGGATGCCTGGTCATGGTCTACTACAGAAACATAGGTATATTTTCATGGCTCACAAAAGAGACATCCTCTATGCTGCTTCTGAAAATATCCTATTAACCTTTATAGAGAAACAACAATTTGATGAAGGGTGGATGACATGCCAAAATATAGCTATAGCCCAAATTACAAATATATTTTTGATGTAACTGAAGCATATTTTGTTTTCATTTACCATGCCATATTATATTTCATATTTTATTTTTTACTCCAAGGACTCAGGATGTTTTATTTGATCAACGTGAATGAATTTGATTGTGCAACTACTATGTACCAGGTACTAGAAAATATGGGGCTCCAAAAATGACTTCTTTATGGAACTTACCTAAAATTTTCAATAATAAAGTTCTTTCACTAATTTAAGATTTGGATAAGACTTCGGCCATACTTTCTCCCTCTCATACATCACTGCCTTTTGGGCAGAACTATGTCAAAGAAAGAAGATAAGTGCCTAAATGTACCAAAGTGGATCAGACACCTTCAAGTAACGCAGTACAAACTTCATGAGGAAAACTAGCTAATATGAGCCCAAGGGAATCTTGCACAGAGCCGGCAGTGATTATCACAAAGAATGCGTTCACAAAGGACTGGAAAATCAGACAGAGGTAACATCAAGTTTGCCAAACCAAAGGCAAATACTACTAGAGGGAAGATTTTTCGCTGCTGATTTAACCAAACACATACTTGCAGCTCTAAGGATTCACGGAATCTAATCAGTCTGCGGATCAAGACCATTGTCTATCAACAAAATTTAAGCACTTCATGGGGAGTTATCTTTCTTTCCTTTAACTAGTAGCACTTTTTAATATCATCAAATATAGAGTCACTTCCAATTTCATGTGCGCACATGTGTGTGTAGAATAGCATACAAGTAATTTACTTGTTTAAATCAGGATACAAATAATGCCCACCTATTTCAATTCACTGATCCATCTCTTAAGTCTTATTATGTTCACCCTCCCTCTCCCACCCCAACCTTGGCAAATTATTGCTCAAAGAACCAGATCATTTATCCTCTGGAAGTTCTCCTAGTCTGGATTTTGATGGCCACATCCCTATGATGTCCATCATATATTCCTCTGACTTCTGTGTTTATTGTGAATTACAGCTGGATTTGGAAGCTGGGTCAGACTCAGATTTGATGGTTTTGGCAAGACTGCTTCACAGGTGGTGGTGTGCTCTGCTATCAGTGGACACGTGATGTCCAACAGCCTCCTTTATGATAGAAGCAGTCACCAGGGTTCAGCACCTAGCTCTGTTACAGCTTGCAAAACGGTGAGATTCTGTCATTCGTTCTTTACGTATCAGCTGAAATCGTTTCACACAGAGAAACTGGACCTCACCAACTATTCGGTAACTCATTGGTATCTTTTTTTTTTAATTAAGCAAAATCTGAGTCAGGTATATTCTTAAATTGCGAGCAGTTGCCAAGTATGGTTAGCCGCACAGCGAGACTTTAACTATTGAACTACATTGAAGTTTCTGATTTCCATAATCAGTGGAGATTCAGCCCAACACCGCAGGCAAGAGCTGTCTTTAGAAAGGAAAGCTACCAATGGCCCACGAGCAGCTGCCCGACTTGTCCACCAAAGCTCTCCTGACTAAGGCGCGCAAAGTCCAAGCCCTGAGAATCTACAAACACTCTGATGTCTCAAGGTTTATCTTTAAAATTCCCCACAATCAATGCAATTCAACTGCAATGTAATGCATTTCCAAGTTTCTTTTAATATAGTAATAACCAGCGCTCACGGAATACTAACCACTTGCTAAGAATTTTACACAAACCATCTTACTTCTCAGGATAACAGGCACTATTTCCATCACCATTTTACAGTGAGGAAACTTCAGCTCAGGAAAGTTAAGGAACATTCCCAAGCTGATAAAATCAATTAGTGGTGGAGACAGGGTTCAAGCCACACAAGGCTCTATTTGTTCTTCTCCAATACGTTACACTATACCGCTTTAAGTCACTTTTCACTTAAATGAGTTAACTCTTCCTCCTCAGTTATCTAAGCCAGGGGTCAGTAAACTTCTTCTGTAAAGGGCCACATATTAAATATTATAGGCTTTGCGGACCATGTATGGTCTTTGCCGGCCACGACAACTCAGTTCTGCTGTTGTAGTTTGCCAGCAGCTATACACAATCCTTAAACGAATGATGTGGCTGTGGTCCAGTAAAATTTTATTTACTAAAACAGGTGGCAGGCAGATTTGGGCAATAGCCTGTGAACTCTCAATGTAAGTAAAATTCATGTGCCAGGCAGATAATGCATATTTATCTTGTGGTTTTGTATGACTGCCTATTCTAGTTTGGGAGGAACAGACAGAAAGAAAACTGATTGGGAAGGAAAAAAGAAGCCAATGCCAAAAGGTAAGGGAAAGAGATTTGACTTTTCTATTCTATTCTTTGCTAACCAACCTAACAATAAGGACAGGGACCCTATATGTTCCTCCCTCCGTTCCCTCAGCCAAGGGTTCTCCGCATCCGCTGGGACCAGGGACATTCTCTCAGCCTCTGGCATCCTAGACTGGCCACTGAAGGTCTTCCCACCTAACTGGAACCCTACCCCTAGAGTCCAGTGAAGTTACTAATCATCGCTTCTACATTTTTTATGTCATATCTCTATGTCTTTGCCCATGCTAGGAAAACTGTCCCACTCTGAAATGATTCCAGTAGATAATTCAAAAAATGCTTTATTGCATTCCTAGTTCAAAATTCCTAGTCCTTTGATTCACCTCTAAAATATCATTTTTAAACATGACAACTATACTTGTGAATTCTGTTTCAACTGTTGACTCACTTATTTCAAACACTAATACCATAAAAAGAATTAAGAGAATCCCTTAAGAGCTCATTGTCGCTGGATATAACTGGTAACTGGCAAAAGCAGTTAAGATTGATTTTAGAGATTTAGCTTTGTTTTCATGCTCTGAATGATGAGAGGAAAGAGTAACCTTCACTTTCACACAGAACTGGAAGGTAAAGGTTACTCCACCACTTAATACGACCGATAATTTTGCATATCAAAACCAAGAAGCTGAGGAAGAAAAATACGGTGACACTGAAATGTCTAAATGTACTAAAATAATGTAGAGAAAATAAAATGAAATAGGAGTGGTATTATAAATGCTTGTTAAGAATTTAGTAAGTGCATCTCAAATACTTTTCTTAAAAAGAGTAAGATATTCAAATGATTCATGTGTTTTCCACGTTACTAAGATCTTCACCGAGACCATGCAGGAGGGAGAAACTGTTGGGAAATGTACACTCAGGACAGTTGGGTACTTTCTCGTTAGTTCTTCATTTCTCGCCTCTTTGGGTTACGTCGCCATGCTCACGCTGCCTCGCTCTCTGTTGGTGGCAACAGTGTCTTATCTGATAACAAAGAGTCCTTTCGATGATTTCCACACCTCAGTTTTAAAGAAGCATGAAAAGGTCCCCTTGCCCTTTTTTTTTTTCTGTCTTTTTGTCTTTAGCTTATAGATGTTTGTGGTTTATTTCTCTCAAGTCTGCTAGTAATAATATACAGTTGATCCTTGAACAACACGGGCTTGAACTGCGTGGCTCCACTCGTACACAGATTTCAATTGTAAACACTACAGCGTTACAGGCCCGAGGTTGGCTGAATCCCCAGCTGCAGAACCAGGGATAAGGAGGAACCACGGACACAGAGGGCCAAGTTATATGTGGGT